TTTCTTATTTAATTGGTTCCACATTGTTTGCTGATTTTTACTTTTTTAAAACTTTGTGTCATTTATTTATTTATTTTTTTACATCAAGGTGTATGCCTTGCCTCCAAGCTTTCTTACTCGTTTTGCTAATAAACGTTCTACATTTCTTATTTATTTGGTTATATATTATACATGTTTACTTAGTCTATTTCCAGTTTTGTATACCTATTTAAACTTTATGTAAGTTATTTGTTATTTTATATTAGGCATAGCCTGCCCTATAACATGGTGTATTTTTATTTGTTTTGTTAATAAAAGTTATATGTTTTATATATAGGCTAAAGTGAGTTTGACGTTGTATTTTGTTATTGCATTCAAGCAATTGACGCCTAACTGCCGCTAATTCAAAAGTGAAAGTAAAATGCGCACGGCGCTTTTAAGCTATTTAAAAGCGAAGGAAAGCGAGGAAAAGAGGCAACGCCCCCGCGGTGATACCGGTGTTGTCACACGTCGATTAACCGGTGGGAAAATTTCCTCACCGTCACAACCCTAATATGCGAGTGATTTATACAATGATAATACGTAAAAAAACTGCGAATACCGCAGGAACGGTATAACGGAAAATTTTAGTGGTTTTGAAACCGTGACTCTTCCAAACCGCGGTATACCTTGAAACCGGTTATCATCCCATGCCTACTTTAGACGGTATGCACTTTTGTATAGCCTGCCGTTATTTCATTGCATTGAATAAACAATTTAATGAGGTGCATTATTTTGCTCATTGCGCCCTCCTGTGGCCTCAGGCCAAATGTTTCATTAACACTTATTTAATTTGCATATAAAATATAAAAAAGGAGATATTTGTTTCAATTTTATTTTGTTTTATTTGTCTGTTAAGACTGAAATAGCTTGTTGTTGTTTGATTTAATAAATTGGGTAAATTAAAAATACAGTGGTTAAATTTAAACTTTTTTTCTACTGCTCTCTGTTTAAGAAAGGTTATAAAACATTTTCAATAATTATCAATACCGAACGATATGAAACATTATATCGTGATACATTTTTTAACTATATCGCCCAGCCCCATGTGTACTCCTGTCTGTTTTCATCACAGTATCAATATAACAGAAACAATCCAATGCGGTTTTCTTTCAGAAAACTACCTTGTCTCATCATCATGAGTTGATGCTCATGTTTGGCAGCCTCCATTTCAGCCTCCAGTTTCTCCTTTGCCTCTTGTATGTTGCGTTCCACTTGTTCCCTCTGCTGTTTCTCCATCTCATCCAAAGCCTTCCAGCGTGAGGAGTACTCAAACTCAAAGGTTCCTGGCTGAGCAAAGCGTGGCTGCTGCTCCCTTTCCCTGGATTGCAGATGGTTGTGATTAATTTATGGTTAATTAAAACTCCACTGAGGCATTCTTTTTTCTCCTTAGTTATACTGTAAACATTTGGAACACAATTAATCTAAATGTCTTAAGACATACTTATGATACTGTGCTGATTTTTGCAACAGCTTTTCTGGTAGCCCATCTTCATCATCAAACTGTTCTGTTGGCTCAATAATGATTGGACGAGGAGACCTGAGGGACAAAAAAAAAGATCCATGTGAAAAAATCCATTTGACAAGGCATAAAGACCAGCCACGTCAACTTCAAATATTCTCTTATTTGACTTGACATATACTTGATATGTAAGGGATAATGTGCATCCAGCAGGCTGTTATCGCAGAATAACCCCGACAGGGTGATCAGGGGTCTTGTTTCACTCTGTAGGAGGTTATTCTGCGATAACAACCGGCTGGATGCACATTATCCCACTTATTACACGGCTACTTGCCTCATAAGTAAATAATTAGACATCCACCACAACTGCCCGCTCAACCGGGCCGAACTGTGAGAAGGCCTGCTCCAGCAGCTCATTGGACACCACTGGAGACAGGTTTCGGACCGTGAGCGCGGCCCCATGTGTGGCAAAACGAATACGGATGGGCCTGTTCCCCAGCATCGTGCCGTCTAACTCAGCCTTGGCAATCTCTGCAAGCGTCCTTGTTTCCTGAATAATGAAAATGATGACAATTTAAAATATGGATGCTTAAATGCTGCAATCAACCCATTGACCAACACAGGTGAGCACAGTCATGCAAACATCTTTTATGGTCATCATGGCAAGAGTCCAATAAAAATAAAACGCATTTCAGTCAAAAATTGTTCAAATTTGCACAAATATGGATCCCACCCAAAGCGCACACATAAATCTGCCTCTCAAACAGCACGCAAATACCGAATTGTGTCTTATTGCACATAAAAGGACAAAATTGTCAAAATACCCGTTTTGGCAAGTATTCACGTAAACACAGTCAGTTACATCTTAAGTGTACGCTAGGGCTGTAACGGTATGAAAATTTCATATGGCTGGACAGGATTTACCGCAAGTTTTCAAAAGCGCGATAATCAAACACGGTTTTGATGATAATTAAATTTTAAACGGTAATACTAACCGTCAGGGCATTTTATCGTGATTTATCATGAAACCGGTAATCGTTCCATCCCTAGTGTACGCAAAGAGTTGATCTGTGTCCTTAATGCTGAGATCATTTTTCACTGATGGGTAAAATGAAAAGATGAAAACAATGACACAAGAGTGGTATATATCCCTGAAACCGGCGTGGAAAAGTTTAGAAGCACAAAAGGAGGACTGTATTTTTAGAGGAAATTGCTTTGAGTAGTAATGAGGAATTCCTTGTTTGAAGAAGAAATAAGTTATAGCACTATCAGCTCCAGATTAGAGATGCTAAACAGTAGGGGGCTGCACGATAAATCGAAATGGAATCGAAATCGCCATTCGACAGAAGCTCCTTTATCACGGCTTAAATACTATGAAATATGTTGTGTGCCTTATTCTGTGTAAGAAGCTACATCATCTCACAGAAGGATTTATTTCAAACACTCGACTGACGTTATGAAGTGAGTTTGGAGTAAAAACATGTTATTAAATGTGGTATTTTCACCTGCTTTCAGATGGAGCAGCATTTACTTCACAGAGCCATAGTTCACTGACAAGCTACTCAAACAGCTGTCATTATCGCGAACGATTTCTTCGATTTCATAATTGCGCAATAAAATCGTCTGCAATTTTTTTTGGAGATTTTTTGGAGATGGAGATTTACTACTGATCACAGAACAGGCTTTACTGCTAAGATACGCTTGACAATCGCATTTGATTAATCGTGCAGCCCTATTGCATCCACATCGCAGTCTTTTGCGAAGTGTTTGAACGCCATCGTACTATTCCCTACCGGCAGAGAGCATCATTGACTGACAGCCAAACACTGACCTAAAATCACCTGATAGTCACACAGCATTAGCTTTTAGGATATGTGCATGTATATTAATTGTTACTTCAGATGTTATCTGTAATGTTTATGGTCTTTTGGGGCAGGATAAGCAATATATTGAAATCGTTTAGGTGGGTGTGTCTGCTGTGCACTGCCGACACAAAATATATTTCTTTATGTATGTAATTATGAAGGAAATATTAAACATGAACATACATCTGGTATTAGTATCAGAAATTGATTAAAAAATACAATAAATATTAGGGGTGCTCCGATTGATCGGCTACCGATCACTATCGGCCGATAATGGCTTTAGGATGTTTGATCGGCGGTCTCTATAAAGCTGATCTCAAGCTGATGATGCTGCTGTGAGAGGTTTGGCACGACATGCAGCGTCTCAGTCTCTGTCCGGCGCGGATGAAATAATTGTAATGCAGAAAGTGAGGTACAATTCATATTTCTTCATTAAATAACCTATAAAGTAATTTGAAAACTTTCTGTGAGACATAATTTCACAAACAGTGTGAGTGAATCACCACGCAAGCTCTCTCTCTCTCTCTCTCTTTCTCTCTCAAAATGCGCAAATGGTTTCAAATCGCATCGCGTCTGTCTATAAGCGAGCTGCACGCTGCACAGTTGACACAGGAATTGTCACTTGCACAAACGAGGCAGTGTCTCATCGTCACTAAAGTTTATAATTTGCATTTCTTTTTAATTCTTGCCAGTGTTTAAAGCATTCAGCGCTCGCCCGCTCTCCTGGAGACTGAGCTCATGCACACTCGCAGCGCACACACATAACACCAGGTTCACATTACTCCGTTTGCGGTGCGAATGTGGTGCGTATTGTTTCCACGCTCATGTTAACGAAGCGTTCACACTGCACACGGTTACGGTCCGGCAGTGCGTTCTGGAGCGGTGTGTCTGCAGTGCAGAGATCGTTTCCGCTGCATGCGCTGAATTAAGTAACAGCGCATTGTTTGTGGTAAATATGAACATGGATTGACACAGAAAATGTAGTAATAACACCATAAATCCATAATTAAAGTCTACTGTGTTTCAGTCAACACTAGGGCTGTGCGATTTGGGGAAAATATCTAATTGCGATTTTTTTTTACATATTGCAATTGCAATCATTTTAATTTTGCAAAGTCAAGCTTCAGCTCAATATTGTCACCACTATCAGTTGGATGCATAAATCTATTAAAGAACATTATTCAAATTCAATTCTTACAATAAACGTTGTTCCAAAGCAGTTTTACAAAGCAAATTGGCTTAAAAACCCCAGTGAACAAAATAAAGGCAGCAGAGGCCAAGAAAGATGCATCCATTCAAAAACAGTTTGTATTTGTGCTCTCTCTCTCTCTCTCTTTCTCTCTCAAAATGCGCAAATGGTTTCAAATCGCATCGCGTCTGTCTATAAGCGATCTGCACGCTGCACAGTTGACACAGGAATTGTCACTTGCACAAACGAGGCAGTGTCTCATCGTCACTAAAGTTTATAATTTGCATTTCTTTTTAATTCTTGCCAGTGTTTAAAGCATTCAGCGCTCGCCCGCTCTCCTGGAGACTGAGCTCATGCACACTCGCAGCGCACACACATAACACCAGGTTCACATTACTCCGTTTGCGGTGCGAATGTGGTGCGTATTGTTTCCACGCTCATGTTAACGAAGCGTTCACACTGCACACGGTTACGGTCCGGCAGTGCGTTCTGGAGCGGTGTGTCTGCAGTGCAGAGATCGTTTCCGCTGCATGCGCTGAATTAAGTAACAGCGCATTGTTTGTGGTAAATATGAACATGGATTGACACAGAAAATGTAGTAATAACACCATAAATCCATAATTAAAGTCTACTGTGTTTCAGTCAACACTAGGGCTGTGCGATTTGGGGAAAATATCTAATTGCGATTTTTTTTTACATATTGCAATTGCAATCATTTTAATTTTGCAAAGTCAAGCTTCAGCTCAATATTGTCAATAGTGTGTAGCTCAGTATGGGTATCGTTACCCTGCTGAAAAAACAATAGAAACCATCACAGAAATTCTTATGGTTTCCATTAAAACCATTACACAATTCCATTTTATAGCGTGTTTTGGGCATTACTCCAATAGGAATGACTGTTTTTATATTGGTTCCCATGTGCCAGATTACATCCCACCAATAGAATCTATCAAATGCCAGTAGACACCATTATAGTAAAGCAGCACTGTAGTTTTTCGACCTTAAAATAATGTCTCTAAAATCATTTCAGTGGTAGAACAACTCTTAACCGGACGAATTGTACTGCCGCTGCTACCTGAGCAGCCTCCTAGCAGCTAAAACCAGACTCTGTAAGTTTCGTGATCGGGTCAGTACACACAGCTCCGCCCATCCCCTGCCAGCGGAAGAGTGCGACCCGCTTTACGCCATACGTCACATATTTTACTCGTAGCCTGGGTGGAGTTAGCGAACAGCTAACTGTAAGACCAACACCATGGCAGAGCGAGCAAAGAAACCAAAGAGGGTTTTGTCGGAGAAAGCTAAGAAAAGAAAGAGAGAGAGTGATCAGACACGAGTCCGATCACGAATTAATCTTGGACGGGCTTACACTCGGTGGCGCGAACTGAAAGAGGCAACGGGTTGCAAAACGGACAGAGACCTAGCCTTCCTGCTACTGGATTTGTAAGTCTTATATGTACATTTTTTCTTACTGTTATGTACTTTTGAGCTTAGTTGTTATTAGGCTGTGTTCCGGTTGTTCATTGGCGCACTACAGGTTCACAATAACCGTCCGTAAGGTAGCCGAGAGGTAAGGTAATGTTGCCGGTCTCGATAGCCTGCACGTTATGATCTTTCGATAGCTAGCATGTCGTGCCTCGTCTCGAATTTATTTACGACACTGGTAATGGACAATTGCGCTTATCAACCACATTGGGGGAACCGTGAGCAAAAGTTACATAGTGCTGCTTTAAAACCAATACAATTCCCATTATAACCCTTAAATCCATTAAATTTTCTAATCTGTTTTGGGAGGGGTTCTATTGTTTTTTCAGCAGGGAAGATTATAATGGTATTACTACTTTTACAGAATTTACTTAATTACTGAATTTCACAGGAAAGATTTGTTTGTTTTGTGTAAACAAAGTACTGTATTACTTTAGTCAATTATTAATGTATTACGTAGGTTACATAGGCTGATTTATTCATTTCTAAGTATTTGGGATTTTAAGAACAAGTGGAAAATGTGCTGAATGTTTCCTTTCATCCAAGTGAAATTAGCAAGCAGTTAGACTGAATATACATTTGTTTTAAACGCGGAGCCAGGCGTGAGTTGACACAGGTCGCGCGTGTGCATCAAGCCTCGTCCATGTTACCAGATGCGCTCGCAGAGATCGGTGCGGAGCTGGGCGTGATTATAAACGAGCATTACGAGACCGGCTGCGTGTGTGAACGGCTCGTCCTTGAGACGCGGCAGAGAGGAGCGAGTATGAGAAGCATTTAGAGACACAGAATCTGTTGGGGAGATAAACTGTGTAAGATAACGTTCATGTAGGCTACTAATAAAATAATCTAAGAATGTATTTTTTATCCTCCAGTACTAAAAGCAGAACCGATAAGGGAGCCCTTATGCGTTGTGGCACAGCTCTTGCAAATTACCTTTTTTGTTCGGTGTCTGTCATTTCGAAGCCGAAGTAATCTCATATTACACAAGTTTTTCTTTAGTATTAATTTGCCTGACTATCGATCTGACCCTGTAGACGCCATCATTATGTGTTGTGACACAGCTCTTGCAAATTAACATTACCTTTTTTGTTTGGTGTCTGTCATTTCGAAGCCGAAGTAATCTCATATTACATAATTTTTTCTTTAGTATTAATTTGCCTGACTATCGATCTGACCCTGTAGACGCCATCATACCACATGCGCGCTTTCAATTTTTATTTTTTTTAATGGTGGGTGTTTACACAGTTGGCTAGAGCAGTGCTGATTGGGGAGAACGGAGGTGCGCTCACTCTATTGGGTTAGTAAGACTGGCACTCAAGGCTAGCAGTCATGCATTTGCGTTTGCTCTGGACTAGTGTTGCTCAGTTTTCATATCGTCCAATCGTCAGCCTGTGAGATCACGATACACATTATCGTGCTAATTTATTTAATTATTTATTTACTTAGTTTCATTGCCGGAAAGTGAACCAACTCCAGCGTAAAGCTAAAAACAGTCTTTTTAATGTGACTGAATTTGTATTTAACATGATAACAATTCAATAGAAATATTGTAAGTTACTAATTATAATGCTTATATTTCCTCAGTTATTCAAAAAGCAGCTACAGAAAACAAGCAAAGAACATTTACATTACCAAAGAACATCATCACAAGCTCAGTGTAGCACGAGTTTATGCACTTTAAAATACAATATCGTAAGATATCTACACTGTATGATGAATAAATCTCTTATACTTACATCGCACGTACATCTGCACTTTGTTGTTTATGATGAAAGAATTTGCGAGTCAGAATTCAGTCAGCGGTGACTCATCTGAACGCCTCTGATTGGCCATTGCATTCATAAGCTTAGCATAATCGTGTGTGATTGGTTATAATGCGCAACACTGTTAAAACGTGGAAAAATAAATATAATGGAACAAATAAGCCCTAATATTAATTAGATTGTATTACTAACCTGATACTAATAATAATCGGCCACAGGCGATATCTCTGACTATCGTCGATACATGATACTATCGTCTATCAGCACAACACTCTAGAACATAGTCATATCGCGTCCACATCGCAGGCTTTGCGATTAGTAAATCACAACGTCTCAAATCACGATTGCGGTTCAATTTCGATTAATCGCACAGCCCCAGTCAACACATAGGCTATGGCTTTTTGGCTAGGTTTAAAGGAAAATATCACTTTTAGATAAAGAAGGCAATAATAGATGGCACTCGTGGAGGAAGGAAAACAGAGTTCTTTATGAACCGCAGGATTGCTTGTAATAAAGATTTAAATGCAAAGGAAAGGCAGTAGAGCTGACTGTTTCTGTCAATGGTAAGTTTCTGATAACGTAAGAAAAGTAGTTTGTGATAACGTAAGAAAAGTAGTTTGTGATAACGTAAGAAAAGTAGTTTAAATGTTTTGCCACTTGCTTGAGCAACTTAATATATAAATCTAGAAGTAAATGCAAAAGTAAAAAGCATTGAATAATGTGTTTCTTATATTTATAGCGTTTAAACACATCTATGAAAAATTGTATTACTGTACTGTTTAAATAAAAAAAAAGAATCACAATGCAGAATAAGCATTTTAAGTAACAATGTTTGGATTTGAAATCAAAATAGTGGATAAATGTTGTGTTTGTAGTAAACAGCCCTGGATCAGGAGCAGACTCCTGTGTGAACGCTGCTTCTGTAACACACTCTGCACACGGAGTATGTGTGAACCTCGCTTAACACTGCCTCACATACAGCTCACGAAATCAGGCTTGTGCTGTGTGGAAGCTATTGTGCCCCAGTCGCACGATTGTCAAAACAAAAATGCAGTGCATGATCAAATGTTTAGGTGAGATAAATAAATATTTTTGATAAATGTCTAAAAAAAATTATCCTCACAAGAGTCACCTAAGAGGGGAATTCATTTTCAAAAATGAAATTCAGGCCCTGAATAAATTAAAAAATCCTGATCGGAGCACTCCTAATAAATATAACAATACAAGCCTCTGTGTTACTATATTGCTTTAAATTGTATTGAAGCTTACCATGCAGCATCTTGGTCAGCACTATTTCTCTGAATGATGTTATGATGCCTGCATTTTATGTCCTGATTGAGCAACATCTATTTCAGACTCTTCAAAACTATTATTCAAAACTGGTGCTTTATTATCACGTTATCATAATATAATGCCTGATTGACTGATGTTAAGAGTGTACATTCAGATATTTAAGAAGCTGTGCTATGTGTGTGTGTGTATGTATGTGTGTGTGTGTGTGTGTATGTGTGTGTGTGTGTAAAATAGTATATCAGTCTGGCGAGTAAACTAAAAAATGTACTAGCTGATGGCGATTATATTACCAAAGTGTGTGTAGAGGGTTGCAAACACACCCGAATCAACTGATCAGCTCGTTAGTAAAGAGCTCACAGACGAGAGACATTATGTGCACATCTTGTGTCATTAAAGTCAACAGGGTTGCAAAAAGAAAATCGCAGGGTCCCTGAAAATAATCCGATTAAAAGAGAACTGAACGATCTCGGACGCCTAGTTTAACCGGTGTAGTGCCGAAATTTGCACCCTGCCAGATTATGCACCCCCTAGTAGTAGGTGTGGGGGAGGGGTTAGGATTAGGGGTGGGGTTGGGATTAGGCAATCAGGTAGCGACTTCAACGAGGGGGTGCATAATCTGGCTGGGGTGCAGAATTCGGCACAACACCGGCCAACACGGGATTTACAGAAGGGAAAAAAACGTTTTCCTGCTTCGGACTCGAACTAATGTTTTCATATATCAGCTTAATACTTGTAACATTATTACACTGGCCTAGAAAACCCCAACCCAAGAGAAATCCGTACATGCACGTATTTATGTAACTACATTAGCCTTTGCTGTGCTGCATACAGTACAAGTGTAAGTGTCTCACCAGCCGAATGAAGCCGAATCCTCGGTCTCGGTTGATGAAAACCTCCTTTGCTTCGCCGTATTTGGAAAACATCTTCTTGAAATCGTCCTCCGTCATATCCGACGGGAGATTACCGACAAAGAGTCTGCACCGCTGCGTGAATGTTTTCTCCCCGGGTCTCCGAAAGGTCTTCAGGTTCACGGTCATCTCGTGAGGCTCGGTGTCGGCGGGGCTCGGGTCCCGCGGCGGCGGAGCGTCGGTCTCCGTGACCTCGCGGGGGTCTGCTGGAGAGTCCGCGCTGCGCTTCACATTCTGCGGCTGCGGAGATGCAGCGTTCGCGCTGTTGGGATTATTCACCTGCTGGAGGTTACGGCTCGCCATCGCGCTGCAGCCTGAACTATCACTAATAAAACACTGGTTCTGTTTTTAGCTGGCTTCAATTGAAATCCCGTAATTTACCAACAGAATGGCGTTATTTTGTATTATGCTCTATCGACTATTATTATAACGCAATACGCAACGACCCAAAAGAAACAGCTTCTAGCTTCTAGCTCCAGCAGCTCTTCTTCTTCTTCTTCTTCTTCTGATGTTTATTGGCGGTTTTGGCAAACCAACTTAAAGGTGCATTACCGCCACCTACTGATCTGGAGTGTGGAGTGAACAGATTTGGTAGAGAGAAGGATATTATATAAAAAAAAAATAAACAAAAATTATAAAAAATAAAAAAATAAACCTACACTATTACAATTTATATTCTTTCCATATTTCCTGTCTTTTTTAGATAATTGAACACTTCTTCTTTAATTCTTGATTGCATTTGGCTATTCCCTAGTAATATCTTGAGTGATACTTTATCATGTCCCATCAAACCTAATTTATGATTAAGTTGATTTCTTTCTCTTTCATACGCATCACATTCTAGAAGAATGTGCTTTACTGTTTCTGGATTCCCACATTTATCACATCTTCCATTTTCATGCTTCCCTATTTTGTGTAAATTGAAATTTAAAGCTGAATGTCCAATCCTCATTCTTGTTATAATAACATCTTTCTTCCTACTCCCACATCTTATTCTCTCTTCACCTACACACCCCTGTATCTGGTAAAGATGCCTTCCTTTTATTCCAGCAGCTCTTCTTCTTCTTCCTTGGTGTTTTATTGGCGGTTGGCAAACCAGCTTATAAGTGCATTACCGCCACCGACTGGACTGGAGTGTGGATCAAGATTTATGCAATATATATGATGGGGAAAGGACCATACAAAACAAACAAAACATATCTATATATACACACACACACATATATACACATATACATACACACATATATATACATATACATACACACATACACACATATATACACATATACATACACACATACACACATATATTATCTATATTCTATATTCTCTTACTTCATTCACATTCTTTTATAAACCTAATAATATCATCATATATCTTGTTAGCTGATTTCCCCAATAAACCTGACAAAGAAAAGTCATGGTGTTTTAATTTCTTCGGAGTGTGTACTAAAATTACTTCCTTTTTTTAAATATCCTCTCCCTTAAATTAGTTATTTTAAGATACTGAAAAATAAAACTATAATATTCATTTCCAGAATTATTTTGTAAAATATCTTATTTTTGCTAAATTTTGCGTTAGAATCCTTCTTTCAGTCTCGTATTTCTGACAGTATAGCATAACATGTTCCACTGCCTTATCTGCTATTTCTTTTCCTTGGATACCAATATGTGCGGGTACACATAAATATACCTCTGTAATGCCCATCATTTGAATTCTGTATAATGTTTGCTTTATTTCAATTAAAATGTCTGGTCTACTTTCCGAGGGACTGTATACTAAGCTAGCCAATGATGAACTTGAATCTGAACAAACAACTGATTTCGCAGCTCTTATCTCCTCTGTCCACTGTATTGCTAATAATAGTGCAATCATAATCTATAACTCTGATCCTTTTCCTTACTGATCAATCTAATTCTGGAACAGTAAAGGCTACTCCTATCTTATTGCCTAAACTCTTTGATGCATCTGTGTAGATCTGAACATAGCTGTGGTACTCATTAATATATGTCTGCACATTACATGAATTACATGCCTTATGCTTATTTTTCTGTTCTAACAATGTAAGATGTACTGTAGCGTCTGGAAGTAACCAAGGTTTTATTACAGGTAGCAGTACAGTTGGACTAACATTTAACTGATTAACTTTAAGATCTGTTGCTTTCTGTATCCCTTCCATACACAGCTTTGAATTTTCCTCCTCTCTTTCCCCAACAGGGCTTTAAAGTATCTAGTGTTGGGTGCTCTTGACTATGGCCTTGTAAATTAACCCAATAATTCACTGATAACTGTATCCTTCTAATTTCTAATGATATTTCCCCCATTTCAACCTGTAGTGCTGTAATTGGTGTAGTTTTTATAGCTCCTGTACATAGTGTGATGCTGTATATTGTCTAACTTTCTAAGAGACGTTTCACGACCACACAACTATAATCTAACACAGATCTAATCAACCCACTGTATATGGCCTTTAGTGCCACCCTATCTGCCCCACATTCACTGCCAACTAAACCTCATTATATTTATTACTTTCTTACATTTATCCAATCGCCCATGCAATTCTTTCATCAAACCACACCCTAAAAACTTAAAATGTTTCACTCTTTCCAGTTCTGGATTATATAATTTTAGTTTGACCTCACCTCCATTTTTGTTCCTTGTAAAAAACATTATCTTTGTCTTGTCAGCTGAGAATTTAAAACCCCATTTATATGACCATTCTTCAACTATTGCAATAGCCTCCTGTAATTTTTTAACAATAAAATCAATGTTCCTTCCCCTTTTCATCAGCAAAGAGCGATAACCCCAGTCCATTATCCAAATCCTCAAATACAGCATTTATCATTATGGAAAACAATAAAGAGCTCACTATACGTCCTTTTCAATCACAAACTTTTCTGAATAACTGTTTCCTATTTTAACTTTTATTGCTCTCCCTAATAAAAAATCATTGATCCATCTATATATTTGACCTCTGATACCTAACTTACATAATTTGATTAACAGCTCTTCTCTCCACATCATGTCCTATGCTTTCTCTGTCAAAGAATACGGCCACGACTCTCTCTATTTATTTGTGCTTTTCTTATTTCGTGTTCTAAACACACAGCTGGATCCATGGTATTTCTCCCTCTCCTAAAACCACTCTGATATTTGGAGAAATATTTATTATTTTCCACATAATACATTAACCTTTCACTCCTGCATCTCTTCTTCTTCTTTGACGTTTTATGGAGGTTGGCAAACCCATTTTTGGTGCATATACCGCCACCTGCTGGGGATGGAGTGTGGAGCATTGATATTATGGGGAACATTAAATAAATAAATACAACTTTTACATATTCTTTCTTAAATCCTGTTTGTTAATCCTGTTTCTTTTAGATAATTTAACAGTATATTGAAGACTCCTGTATCTTTATTTAACAGATTTTTCAATGAAAACTGTACTCCTACATTTCTAAGAGCCTCTATTAGTTGTTGTTTTTCAGTCTCATATCCTTTGCATTTTATTAAAACATTAAAAGACTGTTTCAAGTTGCTCACATTTGACACAACATCCAGATTCATGTTTTTCAATGATATGAAGTGACTGAGGCTGCATTTACACTGCAAGTCTTAATGCACAGATCCGATTTCTGACCCGTCTGTTTACATTCACTTTAGACACGACTGGTATCTGATATCGGTTTACTTAATTCCCGCTCAAAATTATAGTCAATGATCACTTTACACACATGGTAGACGCTCTGTTTTGAATGGCCGTGCTATTAAAATTATTTACATAATACACGTCAAGTGGCCATTATTATTTGCCAGCATGGACAACAGCTGTCATGGACGTTTTGCAGAACAAAATCTGACTGAACGGATAAATACGGAAAATAACAGTACACTTGTTAAAGGTGGAATTCTTTAGTGAAATAAAGTAGTGCCAAGATGATATTTATTTAAATTAATTTGAATGAATTAACAAGAGAGAGAGAGAGAGAGAAGCTTGCGAACAAGTGAAAGTCACGTCATTGCTAAGAGATATAATGTAGCTTTAGCGAAGCTGTTGTATTTATAAAATTCACGGGGCAGGGGTTAAAAACCAGCTCCTGAATGTGCAATTTCTTACCTAGCCTATACAAAGTTTCTATCTAAGTAAAATGCGAGCGCATGCACGTCTGGCTAACATGTCGCCCTCACATTGGGACTCCTGCGGGGATTCGGATAAGTGTGTTTAGACGTAGGTCGGATGTCCAGATATCGGATATGTATCCGATTAAAATCCACATTTGGAAGTGGCTCAGATCGAATGCGAAAAAATCGGATATCTTGCGGACTTTTGTGTTTACATGTGTGGAACAAATTCTGATCTGTGTCAGATGTGAGCAAAAAATCAGATTTTTTTGTGCCAGTGTAAATGCAGCCTGTTTAAAGTCGGCATGAAATCAAAATTGACTTTATTTACTTTACTAGCGCACATTGCTAGTCTTGATGTGAACAATTAATCCGTGCAAGTTAATCCGCTGAAAAAATAGTTTGTCTTGGTAATCTTTAATCAAAATCTGATCATTTGCTTCCGCTCTGGAATGGCAGTCCTTCTCTGATGACGTCAGTTTGACGGCTTGGGCAGAATATCCTTTTAAACACACCCCTCCAACCGTTAGTTTGCTATGAGTGAGAGACAGAGAGGAGGAGCGCTGAAATAAAACCATGCCCTCTGTTCAGTATTCTGTTTCAGATGGAAATACGTCACTACACTGAAATAAAGTCGGCAGCAACTTCCAGTTCACGCGGACTTTAAGTGCAGAGTGCCCTGCATCTCTTCTCTCTTCTTCTTGTTTTATGGTGGTTGGTATTCAGCTGTTTGGTGCATTACAGCCACCTTCTGTTCCGGAGTGTGGATCAAACAGCAGGTTCACAATCTATAGGATGAGTGGGGGAAAGAGAGAAAAAAATGATGCCTTCTTAACCATCATAGCATATAATAAAGACCAGTGTCTCTTTAAAGACTAACAGTTCTCTGACCTCCTTCAGTCATACTCAGGAATGCCTTCAGATTATTATGTCTCTGTGTCATGTATTTTCGACAATTTAGAATGACATGCTCCACTGATTCCTCTTCCTGACAATCCTCACACAAACCAGTCTCGTATTTACCTACCATTTTTAATGTTTTATTTAGTGCACAATGCCTTGACCTTAATACAATTAAATACAATTTCCTCTCTCCTGTTTTCACTACTTTTTTCCCCCCAGATTATGCATTTCACCTCTGCACTTACTGATTCCTATTTGCATGTTTTCCTTCTTTAACACCACCTCATCCACTTTCTCATGTCCCTTCCCTCCTTTGTGCGTCGAGACCCATAGAAATGTAACTTGTCATGCCCCTGCAGCCAGTACTATGCACACACTGCCATCTGCTGGGGTGTTGTGCAAATGCTGCCTTATAGAAATCAACGGATGAAAAGGTATTTCTTCTTCTTCTTCTTCTTT